CTCTTAAACCGCATAGATTTAATTGAAGGAGCTCTGAAGATCTTTTTTGCATTTGTTGGTGAGCTGCGAATCACATACACAATCCTTTTCACTGGTTTCCAGTTGATTTCCTATAATAGTAAATGTGTAAGGATGACATGAGGTAAAATATTCACTCTACTATTAAAATGAACATATATGGACATATATCCTGTGAATAGTTAATTATTATTATTATTTTTTTTTTTGTACAACACCAAAATAGACGTTTAGAAGAATGTCGAAGCTGCTCTCTTCATTAGAAAGTGGATGGGGACCACAAGATGTAAAGACAAAAAAATGCACCAAATATGTATCACAATCTTGTGCACTAAATTACTCATCTAAAGCCATATGATAGCTGATTCACTGAAAATCCTGCTTTGGAATTGCCTGGACGGTTGAGGTCACCATTTACTGGAAATTGTGTTATAAATTTCCCTTGTGCTCCACATCTCAAATGTCATAAATTAATTTTAACGTAGTTCTTTAAAAAATAAGTGAAATTCTGGTGTTTTACACTGAAATCTATCTCTAGGGATCATGGCAGAGCAGTTTGTGCCTGATGGCCCTCATGCACATCTGTATCAGGACGGCTGGGTGAAGCTGATGAACTGGCAGCACAGCACCATGTACTTGTTTTTCGGTATCTCTGGCATTGCAGATGTTCTCAGCATGTCTTCTCGCCACGTGCCAGTTAGTCTTGACCGCCTCTCTCTTTCCTTGGCTCTCTTTGTGGAAGGTATCAAGCAAAATGAGCCAATAATGAAGTGAATATACAGCAATAGCCCGCCATTGAGCTTCCTGAAATGTCATTGCTTCTCCCTTCCAGGGTTCCTTTTCTATTTCCATGTCCACAGTCGTCCCGCTCTGGACCAGCACATTCACTCTCTGCTTCTGTTTGCGGTGTTTGGTGGATCCGCCAGCACAATGCTGGAAGTGTTTAAGCGAGATAACGCAGTGCTGGAACTTCTTAGGGGCAGTTTGGCCATCCTACAAGGCACATGGTTCTATCAGGTAAAGACAACATCTCAGAATCATAGATGAAGAAAATTCTGGTAGAATACATCAGTTATAATCATTCCAATATGGAGATATTTGTTATGTTTTAGATTGGGTTTGTGCTGTATCCTCTAAATGGAGAACAGTGGGATCTGGACAGACATGACAACATCATGTTCATCACCATGTGCTTCTGCTGGCATTATGCTGTGGCTCTGCTTGTTGTGGGCATCTGCTATTGTGGAGTTTTTTGGTGAGTGGACACCATTTTGGATGAATCAAAAAATGTCCCATCATTTCATTTTGCTTTCATTGCTCCCATCATCTTTCCAGGTCTTCAAAATGGTGTGAAGGAAGAAAGCTAGGTGACATGGAGATGGGCCGCAGAAAGTGCACTGCCTCGGATTCTAGCACCCAGAAGGCTTTGCTCCAGGAATCAGATGAAGAGTAGAGAGAGCCTGTGATGACTGCCAGGACTGAATGCAAAGCTTTTTGCCCTTTTCTGTTCTAACAAGCTGTCTTCCAATAGGACTATATGACTTTGTTTGCATAATTTCACTGCAAAACATTCTCATGTCCTCATGCTGAAAATATCGTATCAAAATGGACTTGTAAATAATGTGGTTGTCACAGGTGTCAGAAGCACCTGGAATAACCCTGAGATTTGTCAAACTAGAGGTAAAGAATAGATCATGACATTCTTTTAAGATATCAAACACATTTGAATGATATTCACTCCGAAAGACCCATAAGAGTTGCATAATAATGCATTCAAATGTTTCATAATGAAATGTAAATGAAGAATATACAAGCATTTAATTGTTTGTCAGTTTGATTCATGTTACTGACCACATCATGTAAACGAAGTGGCCCAAAACAGGCAAAGTATTTATTTTACATATACACAATTTAAATGCAGGGTTAAGCCCTAGAATCGGTTTGGTTCTAATGTAACAGTTTCTTAAATTTGATTTGTTTTGTTTAGCACAATCATTTATTTATCATCATCACACAAGCAGTGGCTACAGAATATAAACGGTACTTTTTAAATTACATTTCTTTAGAAGAACATAAGACATAAAAAGCACAAATAAACAAACTTGCCCGTGTACATGTCAACAGCTTCTAGAGAAAGGCCATTAACTTGAACCAAGATCATAGACTGATACAAGCCATAGATCAGACCTGAATTCCCTTACAATATATCAGCATCCAAATCATACTTCCTTTTTCAACTTCAACAATCAGCATATAACTGAAATGCTGGGAACAATGTTACAGGAAAAGCTGCGTCAGGACAAGACCAGTACTTAGAATCTGACACTGCTTTGCCCATATGCAAGTTTCATGGGAAAGTAGAGCAAGACTCTTTCCTTTTTTTGTTTTTTTGTTTTGAGGTCTATGCTTCTTTTAGTTTTATCTTAATCTGAAGAGAAATGGCTAGATCTATGGCCTTTAAACTATTGTAGGTCTCATTGAGGGTCTGGGTTTGTCTTTGGCGAGGGTGCAGTAGAGACCACCACCGTCGACACTGTGGATTTCGGAGAGTTGGCGGCTGTGCGCTGTAGCTGCTGAGCCGGTACCGTCTGGATTCGAACCTGGGGCAGAGAGACATATTCGTTAACTCACATGTATGGTATGGCTTGTAAGACCAGTTTTAGTTTGTTTAAGAGTGAGCTGATAAAGTTTGATGAGTCAACCTGTGTGGCCTGTCCCTGCTGCTGTAGCTGCTGCAGCTGTTGAGCAGTCACGAAGCTGACAGGCTTGTTCCCAGCAATCAATTTGGTGCCTGCTGGCATGGTAGTCAGGATAATGTTCCTCCCCAGATTGCTGATACTAAAAACAACAGACATATTTGACATTTCAGATGATAGGGACCTTAAAAAGCCAGCAATTTAAGATTGCTGTTTGATTACTGTTAGATGATGAAACAGTATGCTCACTTGGTGCTTATGTTCCCCTTAAGTATGGGAGTAGTGATCAGACTCTTATTTTTCAAGGGTTGGCTGAGGACAGACAGAGGCACCGTGATCCTTGTGGGAAGTTTCCCCTGAAAAGAGCAAAGATTAGAGTTTCAATCATCATTGTAACAGGCGGTTTGTGCACAACAGACAGTGGCTCTGCTCCAAAGTCTGCATTGATAGGCAGCATCCTAACTGAAATTAAACCCCAGATTTGCAACACTCTATAGGGAGCAACAAAAGAACAAAACCAGTAACAAATGAATTAAACGCATCATATACTAAAATATAAACTTACAGCTTGTGAGGCTACTACAGTAGCACTGACCGGCACCTGTCTGACCGTGGCCGCAGCAGTGCCCAGAGGAAGCGTAGAGCCTGTGCCTGCAGGGCTCAGCGTCACGCCTCACAATTCGCAACCCGAACATGACCGCCGCAACCTCAAACTTCATTCACCACATGTAAAATGGTTTCTTATGGATAAATTTAGATCCCCATTAATTATTAACCTTGTTTAAAATCATTAATATCATGTTTTGTAGTTTCAATTTTGTGACGAATGTCAAATTTGAATTTAACTGACATTTTTTCGTTTGTTCTCATTCTGTAACATTTTGGTGTACAGTAACCTAAAGAAAATTATTAATTACAATTTTGTTAATGTTCTTGGCCTATTTCATTGTTGTAGAAAAATATGTTTTGTGTTAAAGAGGACAATAAACTTAAATTAATCTTAAAAATTTAAAATTGTATTTTCTTATTTGTTCAGACTATGTTTTATAATGTTATTGTTTTATGAATAAAAAAGTCGCTTGCACAAGCACTGTCAGACTGTGTGATTTGTGGGATGTATAGCCTACTGATCTCCACTCCACAGCTTTTATTTGTGCATGCAGGCACAGACAGATCTAGTTGCGATCTGTATCAGTACTTGTTTTTGGGTCGGCCATTGTGTATTCAGAGCAGCTAGTAAAGCTATTGTCATCTTCATGTTTTCAGTCTCTTTAGGGACCATTGTCCTACATTTGGATGCAAAGAGACAATCTGATCTGACTGTTTGTTTGATGTTGAATCAGGTCTCCTCTGTTGGAATAGAATTGGCTAGATGGCAC